CAATATTCTGTGATTCTTTTGTCCTAACTTAGAGGTAAATTTCAGAGGATCATGGTCAGAAAATACCATGACTGGATTGATTGAAGAAGTGACATAGACTTCAAAATGTTGTAAGGACAAAACCAAAGCTAAAGCTTCCTTTTCAATAGTGGAGTAATTCTGTAGGAGTGTTGTTTGACAGGTTTTGCATCACCTACATCAACATCATGAGGGGGTACCTTTGCTTCTTTGGGAACATCTCCAAAAATAGAGGGAAAGGTCTCAAATAAATGAGACAATTTATGGCTTTCCTCAGTGGACAGATGTTTAAGGTGGTCATTTAAATGATCTAAAAAGGAAGAATTTACCAATTTTGGGGGTTTCAATTTGTCATGTATCACATCATCAGAAACATTTAAACATACAGGTAAAGTAATTTTAGCTGTGGAATGAAAATTGTTACAATTATCGTAATACTTTTTCAGTGAGTTAACATGATACACTGTTTCTTCCTTCCGTCTGGAGTATTGACAACATAGTGCAAATCACTTAATTTTGAATGCACCGTAAAGGGTCCACAATACCTTAAGGATAACGCATTGTTCAGGTTAGGCACGAGAACAAGGACTTTCTCGCCTGGATTGAATGTTCGTTTACGAGAACTCTTATCATACAGTCCTTTCATCCTCACTTGGGCCTTTCTTAAGTTCTTGTGAGCCAATTCGCACACGGCTTTCAATCGAACGTGAAAATCGTCAAAGTTCTCCACTGGATGGTTACTGGTACCTGTCCAACGCTCGTGGATCAGCTTCAGGGTACCACGGACAGAATGTCCGAACACAAGCTGAAAAGGAGGGTAACCTAGAGATTCCTGAACACAGTCTCTAGCGGCGAAAATAATCCATGGAACAGTTTCATCCCACTGGGTGTTACTTTTAACGAACGTTCTCAGCATGGTTTTTAGGGTCTGGTGAAACCTCTCAAGTACACCTTGAGACTGAGGGTGATATGCTGAGCTGGTGACGTGTGTAACGCCTAGCTTGGCTAACGCTTCCTGAAAATGATGGCTGGTAAAGCTGCTGCCTTGGTCTGTTTGAACGGTTCTAGGTAATCCGAAGGTAGTGAAGAACCGGGTCATGGCTCTGACTACAGTCTTTGCCTTAATGTTCCGTAAGGCAAACGCCTTGGGAAAACGGGTACTTGAACACATAAAGGTAAGTAGGTACTCGTTGCCCGCCTTGGTTTTTGGCAAGGGACCGACACAGTCCATGATGATTTTGGAGAAGGGTTCTTCTAACACAGGAATCGGATTCAAAGGGGCCTTAGGAATTTTCTGGTTGGGCTTCCCGGCCAACTGACAGTTCGTGCAACTTTTGTAGTAACGCGACACATCATTTCTCAGTTTCGGCAAAAAAAAACAGTTCTTTGATCTTCGCCATTGTTTTCGCGACTCCTGGGTGCGCTGACATCGGATGGTCATGTGCCAGTTTCAGTATTTCATACCGATAAGGTGGAGGGACCCACAGCTGGTTTTTACCCAACCATGGTTCGGCAGGTGAGGCATTCACTGGTACAGAGCGACGAAAGAAGAGGTCGTTCTCGGAGAAATACTCCCCATCGTCAGCTGAGAGTGATTTTTCGACCATCGCTTTGAGTTCCGCGTCGACTTGTTGAGCTTTAATGATGTCTTCCTGAGATATCCTCAGGGGTAAGCCCAGGCTTGGGTTCTCTGGAAGCATAGACTCCAGTTTGGGAGTTGGATTTCCTGACGATGATGGTAGGGGTGGTTCAGGCGCTGTGTCAGCCAATTGTTTGGTCTGGCTTCGGTGACCGCCTCTGTGTCAGAGACGTAGAGTGGTGCTCAGGTCTCCCACCCCCCAATTACACTACCGCATAGGCGCGGCGTACGACCCGTGGCTCCTCAAAACTAATAGGCGCCATCAGCCAAATAGCATCCTGTTAATGATGATGCAGATTTCGTTATTCGCTAAAGGATTTTTTTCTTTAACACGTAAAAATATTATTTGACGTGTTTTAAATATCAGTGTTACTGATACAATATGCTAGCGTTACTAATGGTCTATTATTAGATGCTTTATCTCAATTTTTGACTGGATTGTCTAATAATAGATGCTTATTGCATCATTCGCAAAGTGACGAAACTCTACAGCAGGCTCCTCAAATTCAAAAAGTTATTTTTTCATCTTTCTCAAGGTGACGAAACTGTACAGAAGTATTTCCTCGCGTTACAAAGTTATTTTTAGAAGCCTGTTGTAGGTTTATCGCTGAATAAAGGAGTACCCCTTACTTGCTATGCAGGACGCTCGATTAACGGATGCCAAGTGCCAACATAGTCGCTCTAAAACTCTGGGCGCCAAACCGTGTATTGACGTAAGTTGTGCCATATATGGCGCCGCCCATAAGAAACTTTAATTTTTCTTTTTCGCAGAAATATTCTCGGGAGTATTCTCATCTACTCCCTAAAGTTTCATGGCATCCGAGTTTTATTTTTTATATACCGTGTATAGAGAAAAAAAATCGCTCCCTTGCAATATTAAACAATTTTTTTTGCAGAACCCTACCATTGAGTGATCTAATCATCTCCCCAAAGTTTCATGGTACACGGATGAACGGCGTGAAACCGAAATTTTATAAACCGTATATAGAGAAAAATCGCACACTCGCGCGGCGCCGCCCTTGCGAAATTTAAAAAGGATTTTTTACAGAACCCTTCCCGGAATTGTTCTAATCAACTCCCCTAAAGTCTCATGGCTATCGGATAAAGGTGTCACACCAAAATCGACTTATTTTTATATACCGTATTTAGAGAAAAATCGCACCCTCCCGTGGCGCCGCCCTTGCAAAATTTAAAATGATTTTTTTACAGAACCCTTTCCTAGAGTTTTATATTGAACTCCCCATAGTGTCATGCCTATCGGATAAACATTGTCACTGCAATTCACTCTTATTATTTTTATATACTGTAAATTCAGAAAAATTGGACTTTCCCGTGACGCCGCCCTGGCGAAATTAAAAATTATTTTTTTACAGAACACTTCCCTAGAGTGTTATAATGAACTCCCCAAAGTCTCATGGCTATCAGATGAACAGTATGAAATCAAAATAGACTTTTATTTTTATACTCCGTATATAGAGAAAAACAAATCGCGCCCTGCCGGGGCGCCACCCCTGCGAATTTTAAGAAAATTTGTTCGCAGAAACCTCCCTATGAATATTTTCAACAACTTCCCAACGTTTCACGGCGATGTGATAAGAGGTGTGGTAATGCATAAAAGACACACACACACAGACACACACACATTGCTTTATATATATATATATATATATATATATATATATATATATATATATATATATATATATATATATATATATATATATATATATATATATATATATATATATATATATATATATATATATATATATATATATATATATATATATATATATATTTAGATAGATATATAGATAAATAAGCTTCAAAACCAAATTTGAGTTATCGTTTTTAATATAAGAATACGTTAGAAATGCAAAATTAAAAAAAAAAAGGTTAGTATTATCAAACAATCAAATCAATACATCAAATCTCTAAATTTTGCTAACTTGAAACTCCTGCTCCAGGCTGGGAAAAAATCATTTTAGTCGGGAAAAATATTCCGTTCAATACTACAGCTAAGCTTTAATATACGGTCTATTCTCTCTAAATTTTGTACAGATAGAATGTTAACTTTTAACGGAGCATACGATAATGACTGACTTCCCCTACCCCTTTCAAATAAAAAGAGAACATGAACATTATATTGTGCACTGTCAAAACGCCCCGGGACAAATCGGCCCCGTCAAAATGGCCCCGTAATATGACCACGTCAAATTGACCCCCGACAAAACGACCCAGTCAAAATAGCTTCGTCAAAAGAGCCCGACGTCTTGGCTCCTGTTAAATGGGCTGCCGTCATATTAACTCGCAACATATAGGCTCCCGACAAATAGGCTCAGGACATATTGGCAACCGACAAATGGGCTCCCGACATATTGATTTCCGACAAATAGGCTCCTTTCATATTAGCTTCCGACAAAATGACTCCCAACATATTGGATCCAGACAAAGGAATCGTATGACCAACATTGGCATACAAGTAACCATTTTGTTTTACCTCCACTACCACTAAAACCTTGTTTAAATGCCCGAAGAAAATGTTTTTCACGACCAACCTGAATTCACAAACAAACAGAGCCCTTAACAGCTAAATTCCACCAATTCTAAAGTTTTGATGTTTAATTTACAACAGTAAAGTTTTGTTGCTTAAAAGCGAGCACATAATATCAAATGTACGATATACATGATGTTTACAGGATAACATTTTGTTTTGATAACCTACAAGCATACTGCAGGTAGGAATGTACAGTGTCGACCCCTCTCCCACACACTGAGTTGGAACAGTCTATAACCGACTCATTTATGGAATTCATAGATAGATGACCCTTAAATTAAAACATACTATTTCTTATAATAGATCAACTATTGTAAAAATAAGGCCTGCAGAACAAAGGATGCATAAGTTGTATTACTTAAGAGTGTTGGATAAGCTTAAACTAAAGAATATTGATGAAGGGTTCCTACTGGCAGGTGTCATATCCAATGAGACAGTTTTGCCAGGAGACTTATTCTCTACGGAAACCATACTGTCGGGAGCCAAATTGACAAGAGCCTATTTGTCTTGAGCCAAAATGACTTGAGCTTATTTGTCGGGAGTCGTAATGACGGGGGCCGTTTTGTCAAGAAACTAAATGACCGGAGCCTATATGTCGGGAACCTAAATAACGGGAGCCTATTTGTCATGAGCCTATATGACGGGGTCCATATGTCGCTTTTGACGGGTCGATTTGACGGGGCTCTTATGTCATGGCCGATATCTCGGGGTCGTATATATATATATATATATATATATATATATATATATATATATATATATATATATATATATATATATATATATATACATATATATAATAAAAGTGACTCCAAATTATGTGTTTTATTTTTGTCTGACTACAATATTACACATCTATTTACTTTTAAGTATTTTGTATATTCTTTGTACAACTGATCAAGTTCCTTTTGTAAGGCTATTTTCCGTTCATCGTCAACACTCGTTGGGTCGTCATCAATCTGTTTTTTCAGTTGTTTTAATCTCGCTTCAAGGCTTTCGATGCGCTCTTGTTCTTGTTGTTTGATTAGTGCAAGCAGTTTTGTATTCTGTTCTTTCGCAAGTTTTAAATCAGCTTCAGTTTTAGTGAACTCTTGTTGTTGCTTCTCGATCAATTCATTGTACGACTTTGACACGTCCTTTTTTTGCTTTTCAAGATCATCCAAAAATTGAGTACATTTTTCGTTGTTCTTTGAAATTGTAGCCATATTTTCCTTGATCCTTAAGTCTTGTAAATCAGCATCAAGACGCTTTTTAAGATCTGTAAGCTTTATTTCATGAGATTTTTTTAGTACTGTAGGATCTCCAACTTTGCTTTCAATGCTTCGTCTGTATTCAGTTTCTAGATGGCTTTTGCTTAAACTATATTGTTGTTCAAGAGCTTGTTTGTTTTTAGCAAAGCGTTTCATAACTTTTTCAAAATCGCTCTTTTCTTTTTCTCGTTTTTTTGTTTCTTTTTCAATTTTCTCCATCACTATTTTCAGTTCTTGAATTCTATTAACGTTTCCAATTATTTGGGCATGAAAAGCATCTATAATTCTGAGTAGATCAGCAAAAATATTGCTTTCCTTATCTTCATCTGATATGTATTTTCTTAAATCTGATACTTTTTTTAGCAGTGTTTTGTTCATTTTAATAACTTTGTCATCTTGTAATTTTTTCTGTGACAAATCATTAAATTCTTCAGTTAATAATGTTAACATGTTCAACGCATAATCGCGTATCTTTGGTTCAGCAACTTTAATTAAATAATTTTGTCTTGAGGTCTCATATTTTTTAAACTTGTTGAAGCTGTAGCGTTGTCCATCCGATTTCAGCTGATCCACAGTATCAAGCAGCGCCTGCACTTGTATATTTCTAACTTTTTCATCTTTCGTTTTGTTGTCAAACAATATAGCCCTGTTGTTGCATTCGTCTAGCAAAGTTTTAAAATGACCTTCTTGGTTGCAGCACCACTCCTCAAATGTAATATTTTGGTTTTCAGCATCACCACTCTTGAAATTATCCCCATGAGTAACAATTACAATACAATAATTCCTTAAAAAGTCCTGTCCGAATATCTCCTTTAGAAGCCGAACACACTCCACATCATCTTTGGAATATCTTCCCCCATATTTCACTACTAGAAGAAAAGCGTGGTATCCTCTAGAGTTTAATGCGAAGGCATCTTTATTGTTATTTAATACAAGCTCAGCTGCTTTCTTAGCATCATCAATATGGGCTGTATCTCCCACACCTGGCTGGTCAACAACCAAAATTTCTCGACCGTTGAACTTCACCACACCTGTTTTAACTTCTCTGGTAACAGAGACTGTGCTTGCGTTAGCCTTAAACCAAGTTTTGCCTAGGATCATATTGCCTGTTTCACTCTTACCGTTTCCAGTGTGACCAATAAGAAGCAAATCTATCCCATTATCTGGTTTATGAGGTTTGCTTTTCTGCAAAATAAATTATGTTAGTCATTATTGCACAACTGCATATATACAGGAAATATACAGGAAATTAAAAAAAAAAAAAAAACAGGACTAACACTGCGGTGGGAAAGTGAAATATGAAATATAACTCATCACAGTATTAGATGCAACCTCAAAACTAACTGACCAATAGAAACAGCCTTACCTGCTTATCATTGTCCCCAATTATATCTAACATTTCGTCGCTTGAAACTAAAAGCAAAAGAGCAAAATATTAGTGTTTACAAAGATTTAAAAAAAAATATTTTAAAAATGAATTATTTAAAAAGTAAAGCGGGAGTAAACATTAAGTCGGAATGTACAAAACGGTCCTTCTTACCCGCATAGGGGTCTAAATTTGATACAATACTTATAAATGAAATTTCATCAACCTAGCTGTAACGGTACTCAAGTTATCGTGTTCACAGACACACACACACACATACACACACATACAACATACGGACACAATTGCCAAACTATGTTTTTTTCAGGGATGTGTAAAGCGTCGAGATTTGTGAAAATCTCGATTTCGATTTTTTTGCACGATTACAATACTTCCTCTAAATGGCTTACTTCGTATGCAAGAAAGTAAAAATTAGTAGATCTAGTGCGGTAGTATAACTCTTGGTTTTTCAAAATTAACTTGTAACTCGCAGTATAAATTATATAAATGTTCAGAGTTTCTTCCAGGCATCTCTTCGGGGGGGGGGGGAGGGGGCTTTGCCCACTCACCCCCCCCCCCCGAGAAAAATTTACCGCCCCTCGAACGAAATGAAATTTATATAATTTATATAGAAAATATAAACTTTTAACAGTGTATCCCACCCCCCCCCCCGAAGAAAGTCTACCACCCCCCGAAAATTTCAAGTGCCCCCCCCCCCCCGGAGAAAAAAGTCATGAAGAAACACTGTAAATGTTAAAACCAGCTTCATAGAAACTCATGCGACGATCTTATATAAAAAAATTGTTAATGTAGGCTGCATAAAAGCGTACTAATGCGGATTCCCAAACGTAAGACAAACGTGAAGAGAATTAGAAAAATAAATAAAACGGGGGGATGGCAACACAGGATATAGACAATATTTTCAATCCATTTTAATTACTTAAACTTTTTTAAACAGAATAGAATCTCGTAGAAAAAATATTGCAGACCAAGTAAACGCCAAATAAAATGAGCATAATAGTGCGGAATATTATTAGTACTTTATAAATTCACATGCGTTTTTTAAGAAATAGGAAATAGCGTAAATTACTACTTTTGATAAACATAATTTACTCAAAATTTGATAAAAGGCAGAGAATTAGATCTTTTACTTTTACATGGGAAATTTTATTTATCTATTTAAAACAGTACTCAAGTTATACGCTTTTGAAAAATACAAAGTCGAAAAAGTTTCACTTCCGGTTATCGGACATCGATGAAAAGTTGATACCTAGGCCTATCTACAAATGTGATATAATACTTATATGTGAAATTTTATCCACTTACCTGTAACTATACTCAAGTTATCGTGTTTACAGACACACTGACACACACACATACAAACATGCAGACATACCGACTAATTTGCAAAACTATGTTTTTCCGACTCATGGAGGTGTAAAACGCCGAGATTTGATAAAATCTCGATTTTTTTACGATTACAATACTTTCTCTATACACTGTATACAAGAAAGTAATAAACCGGGAGTAATCTTCCCTAAACGTTCTCGAATATTCTCATATAAAACAACAGGAGATGGCAACTCGGGATATAGACATGATTTTTAATCCATTTTAAATACTTAAACTTTTTAAAATAGAATAAAATCTCATAGAAAATATAATTGCACACCAATTGAACGCCAAATAAAATGTGCACAATAGTGCGGAATATTTTTAGGGCTTTGTAAATTCACATGCGCTTTTTGAGACATCGGAAATAGCGAAAATTGCTACTTCCGGTCAACAGAAATGACTCAAAATTTGAAATAAGGTCGAGAATTAGATATTTTACTTACATGTGAAAAAATTTCATTTATCTATCTGAAATAGTACTCAAGTTATAGGTTTTTGAAAAATTTTAAATTGAAAAAGTTCCACTTCCGGTTATTGGAAATCAGTCAAAAATTGATACGGATCTACCATTTTTATATAATACTTATATATGAAATCTCATCAACCTAGCTATAACGGTCCTCAAGTTATCGTGTTTACAGACACACAGAATATGCACCATAGCGCTTACATGATAACCCAGGGTGCCAAATCGAACCGTGCAGGGGCGCCGGCGAACGCGCCTGTTTTAATTTAGTGAACAAAATTATAATACTCCAAGCTTATCCGTAAATGGAAAGAAATAAACATATAGGATTTGTAGGGCCTGGCTTATTAACGGTTATTGATTTTAAAAATAGTTAGTAAACAGTAAGTTCAGTGTATAGAATAAATAAAAGGCAGTATTAAAAATACCAACGACATTGCACTTAATCAATCCCCGCTAATTATGTGATTATTTTTTTCCTAACACCAAAACAAAGTAATAAAAAAAAAGTTCTTTCTCCCCCGATTTAATGTTTTTTTTAAGGGAAGTAGCTGTGTTTGCCAAATCAAGGGACATAATGAGCGCTAAAGGACTAAATGTAAATACATTTCAGACACCATTAGAAATTTTACTAACGTTGATACACTTTTTTTTTAAATTTCATGTAATGTTCATAATTGAAAATGATTATTCTAAGTATGTAAAATGAAAATTGTTTTTAAAGACTTTCAATATTAATTTTTTAACTTATAAATTTAGATCATGAGCACTTAAATAATCTAACACTTGAATCCATGGAAGTATCGTTTTTTTTTTCATTTTTCTCTTATATTCCTTTGTAATCTTTGATTACAAACATTGTACAAACATACATACAGAATTGAATTTTATATATTAGACCAGCCGTCCCGGCCAGTCCCTGCTCTGGCCTCTGTGAAAAAAACTCTCTGTTAAGGACCATTACCTGTGCGTTTAGTAATTATCATGTATCCGGCATTGCCCATCCTAACCACAACCAACCAAAACAACAAACAAACAAAAAACCGCAAACATAACGAAATCACAATTACAAATACAAACACAAACGAAAACAAAAACCTAACAACAAACCCAACCACAACCATAAACATAAACACCAAGAAAAAACAAACGAAAAAAAGCAAACGAAAACAAACCAATTCCAAACGCAAACCCACAACACAACACAACACAAATACAACACAAAGACAACACAAACTTAACACAAACTTAACACAAACACAACACAAACACAACACCAACACAACACCAACACAACACCAACACAACACCAACACAACACCAATACAACACAAACACAACACAAACACAAAACAAACACAACATAAACATAACACAAAACAAACCGGGACGGTTATTATTATATAACATTGTATATCTTCTTGTAGTTTCGAGCAGGTCTCTATAAAAGAGTTTTTATGGTGAGACCGACAAAAATGAATTACCCTTCGTGCGAAAAAAAACCAGACAAAAACGAAAACGAAAAAAAAGATAACTAATAACCTGCGGGAATTCCCGTTCCCGAATAAAGTTGTCCTTTGTTACTTCAACCGTCTTTAATTAAAAATATTAATCTACTGTATAAAATTGTATATCTTCTTTTAGTTTGGTGCAGGTGTCTATAAAAGAGCTTTCTGGTGCGTCCGGCCAAAACGAATTCCCCTTCTTGTGCAAAAAAGACAGACAAAAAAGAATGCGCAAAAAAAAAAAACACAAATTCCCGTTCAGGAATAAAGATGTCTTTTTTTACGTCAAATGTCTTTGATTAAAAAAATAATTAGTAAACAGTACGTTCAGTGTATGAAATAAATAAAATGCAGAATTAAAAATACCTACCATATGCACTTGATTAATACGTGCTAATTATGTAATTCTTTTTTTCCCAACAACAAAACAAAGTAATAAAAAGTAAATTCTTTTCCACCCGATTTAATTCCTTTAAAGGGAAGTAATTGTGTTTTCCTAATTTATCAAAGGGAAGTAAGTGCTAAAGAACTAAATATAAATAATTTTCAGACATAATTAGAATTTTTGTAAATGGTGATATTTTTTAAAAATGTTATTTAATGAACATGCCGACAATTATTACTATCAGATTGAAAAATGAAAAATTATTTCACAACACTTTCAGTATTAATTTTTTAAACCATGCATTTAGACCATGAGCATTTTAATTATCTAACTTTTAAATCCATGGAAGTATTGTATTTTCTTATATTCCTTTGAAATCCACAACTAACATAATTACATACATACAGAATTTTCAACTTTATATATTAGATTTAAGGACTAAGATAGTTTAATAAAGAAACTAAATTATTTATTGTATTTTTCTTATTTTGTTCTTTTTAACCAACTGTTATTGGTTTGGCCGTAAATCTAGTTGATCAGTATAATTTGCGTATCATTTCGATAAATTCCTATACGTTTCAAGTATATAAGTCCATGTATTTTATGGTAAATATTTTTTGGTTTGGCCTTAAATCAAGTGAAGTCACTCTACGTGCGGTTAAAGTTTTTAATTGTTGTGAAAATAAAGTATTTGTTCTGATTTTGTATAACTAAAGGAATGTTTCTACCAATGAATATAGCAATAAATTAAATATCGTCTTTAAATAAATGTGTGTTAAACAATTTGGGGAAAAAATATAACAACTTTCTCTACATAAAAACGTATTTTACAGTTCTACGTATAGTGCAGAAGCTCTCATTTAACGAAACAGACAAACAAACTAAAAAATATACAAACTTAGAAAAAATTGAGTTTTAGCAGAATATAGATACATTGATAGATAGTATCCTTAGTAACTAGTTGAGAAAAAGTAAAAATCTAACTAAACAAATAATTTTTGGCCTGTCTCCCGACAGGCTATGCAGGTAATAAAAGTAAATATATTATAATTAAGATTATTGATACAAATGCGTCACCTTTTGTTGAACAAATTAAAATCGTTATAATATGAGTAATTACATCTTTGGTCTAAATGGTCATGTAAATGATACTCAGTTAAAAAAAATACATACCTATTTCATTTCCAGGCGATTCACTTCCCTGAATTTCAGCAACTGCGGCGTCTTCTAATGGCACAAAGTTGGACAAATTTTGACAATCTGCCAAGAAAATTGTATACGAAATAAACTGAACAGTAATATAAATTAGGGTCTTGTTATTTATCTAACTTAAGTCGTCATATTATGATTAATCCCATCTTCACCAATTTGGTTTAGTAAATGGTATTAAGTGAAGAAAAACATACTTGTTTCATTTTCATGCGATTCATTTCCCTGAATTTCATCAACTGAGGTGTTTTCTGATGGCACAACGTTGGACAAACTCAGACCATCTGCCAACAACATTAAATTAAATAGAAATTAAAAGGAGTCAAACCCATCTTTGAAAAAGTTTGATTTTTAAAATAAATAATTGTAGGCTTACTTTATCTAGAATTCTAATAGTATTAGAATAGTATTTTCTAGTATTCTAATATGTTCTACCTGTAATTTCTTGTATTTTATTTGCAATGTTCGAAAGGCCGATTTCCTTGTCATTAAGTACATCTTTTAATAACTTCATATCATCCTCTTGCAAAATTAACTGGTCTAATATTGCCAGAGCTCCTTCGTGTTTGTCAGCATTTCGTATATTTTCCTAGTATAAAAATAGAATATTTTATAAAAATGTATGTAACTTTAAGTTGCATAAAAAAAAAAGACAAACTTATGTTGAAAATATACTTTTAAATAATTCCTATTTATAATTTAGAGTTATTTCAGTAGAACTTTTCTTCATGTTATATTTCACCTCTTCTTGCTGGCTAAAGATATCTTTGTGTTTCTTCAACACTCGCAGGAAAAGTTCGGGGTCCACCTCGTTACAAAATGTGTCTTTGATTGCCAGTTTTATGTCGCTCATAGATTGTATGACAACGATTGAATCATCGTCAGTCTCTGTCAAAAGAAACATGTTGGATTAAATATAATCTTTAAAACGACAATGTCAAATTATTTGTTATTTCGAATGCCCAACCGCACGCACGCTGATACGCACTAATTTAATTGGAAAGCACACACAGACACACACACACACACACACACATATATATATATATATATATATATATATATATATATATATATATATATATATATATATTATATATATTTTATTTATTTTATTTTATTTTATTTTATTTTATTTTATTTTATTTTATTTTAGTTTATTTTATTTTATTTTATTTTATTTTATTTTATTTTATTTTATTTTATTTTATTTTATTTTATTTTATTTTATTTTATTTTATTTTATTTTATTTTATTTTATTTTATTTTAGTTTAGTTTAGTTTAGTTTAGTTTAGTTTAGTTTAGTTTAGTTTAGTTTAGTTTAGTTTAGTTTAGTTTAGTTTAGTTTAGTTTAGTTTAGTTTAGTTTAGTTTAGTTTAGTTTAGTTTAGTTTAGTTTAGTTTAGTTTAGTTTAGTTTAGTTTAGTTTAGTTTAGTTTAGTTTAGTTTAGTTTAGTTTAGTTTAGTTTAGTTTAGTTTAGTTTAGTTTAGTTTAGTTTAGTTTAGTTTAGTTTAGTTTAGTTTAGTTTAGTTTAGTTTAGTTTAGTTTAGTTTAGTTTAGTTTAGTTTAGTTTAGTTTAGTTTAGTTTAGTTTAGTTTAGTTTATCTTATCTTATCTTATCTTATCTTATCTTATCTTATCTTATCTTATCTTATCTTATCTTATCTTATCTTATCTTATCTTATCTTATCTTATCTTATCTTATCTTATCTTATCTTATTTTATTTTATTTTATTTTATTTTATTTTATTTTATTTTATTTTATTTTATTTTATTTTATTTTATTTTATTTTATTTTATATATAGGCCTATATATATATATATATATATATATATATATATATATATATATATATATATATATATATATATATATATATATATATATATATATATATATATATATATACATACATTTATGAATGTGCCTATATGTATATGTATTTGTGTGTATATACGTGTACGTGTACGTGTACGTGTACGTGTACGTGTACGTGTACGTGTACATGTACGTGTACGTGTACGTGTACGTGTACGTGTACGTGTACGTGTACGTGTACGTGTACGTGTACGTGTACGTGTACGTGTACGTGTACGTGTACGTGTACGTGTACGTGTACGTGTACGTGTACGTGTACGTGTACGTGTACGTGTACGTGTACGTGTACGTGTACGTGTACGTGTACGTGTACGTGTACGTGTACTTGTGCGTGTGCGTGTGCGTTTACGTGTGTGTGTACGTGTACGTGTACGTGTGCGTGTACGTGTGTGTGTACGTGTGCGTGTACGTGTGCGTGTGCGTGTGCGTGTGCGTGTACGTGTGCGTGTACGTGTACGTGTGCGTGTACGTGTGCGTCTACGTGTGCGTGTACGTGTATGTACATTTTTATGTATATTGTTATGTATTTTTTTACTTTCTCGTATATACAAAGTATAGAGAAAGTCTTGTAATCGTGCAAAAAAAAAACGTTTTACACTTCACTGATACTGAAAAACATAATTTTGTAATCTTGTCCGTATGTCTTTATGTATGTGTGTGTGTTTGTGTTTGTCTGTGTGTCTGTGTGTGTGTCTGCGTGTCTGTAAACACGATAACTTAAGTCCCGTACAGCTAGGTTGATGAAATTTCATATATAAGTTATTTATCAAAATCGTAAATTCGATTTCCAATAACCGGAAGTGGTACTTTTGTTACTTTGAATTTTTCAAAAGCCTTTAACTTGAGTACTATTTCAGATAGATAAATGAAATGTCACATGTATGTAAAAGATCTAATTCTCTACCTTCTGTCAAATTTTGAGTAATTTTTGTTGACCGGAAGTACTAATTTACGCTACTTCCGATTTCTCAAAAACTAATGTAAATTTATAAAGTACTAAAAATATTTCGCACTATTAAGCACATTTTATTTGGCGTTCACTGGTGTGCAATTCTTTTTTCTACGAGATTTTCTTCTATTTTAAAAAGTTTAAGTATTTAAAATGTATTAAAAATCATGTCTATAGCCCGAGTTCCCATCCCCTGTTTTTTTATATACGAATATTCGAGAAAGGTTTATTATGTATATTTTTATGCATATGTAATATCCTGTCTATTATATTATATTTATATTATATTATTATATATATTACAAATTTTAAACTGTTTCACTCGCCTTTTTTTCTGATACACAAGTATTCCAGATATGATAAATATGATAAATATTGATTTTCAGTAAAGGGGTCGGCGTGGTCGAATCGGTAAAGCTCATGGTTGCTAAACCGAAAAGTCTCGAGTTCGAACCCTCGGGCAGATGAGGCTCGTTAGCTGGGGACAGCCACTCTTCTAGGAGAGACAACTCCAAAATTAAACAACTGCTGCCTTGTAGTTTGTTCTTGGTTGGACAAAGGCTTTGGAAGCAAATCCAAAAAGAAAAGCAGGCTGAAATCGGAGTCAATGGCCTCAATGGCGCATAACCAGTTGACACGTATACTTAATTGTGTTGGAGGCGTGGTCGAGTCGGCAAAAAGCTCATGGTTGATAAATTCGAACAAAGTCTCGAGTTCAAACCCACTGGCAGATAAATCTCGATCCCCTTCAACACTAATAATTAAGAACGAAGAAGAAGAAGAAGAAGACTCGCCTGGTATTAGGCCTTGTAGTGTATCCATTGGTAGATATGCTTATGTAAAAGAAAATACATTGCATTAATAGAAATAACAACAAACAGCACAATAATCAATAGACCTATTTGGAGTCGCTCTAACTTATTGCCACTATTGTAATATTGGGAATTTCTGGTCTGACGTTAGGATTTCTAGGAAAACATTACCTTTTTTTCGACAGTTGCCACGTAGCAAATCGATTTAATTTGACTCAGGCTAAGGCTGTATATTATCTTAAACTTAATTTAGTTCCACATTACTATCAATATTATTAACCTTAATGGATTAAACTGTACACTAAATGTACTTTAATACTTCTGTTATTCGAAAGATGTATTAACTTTTATTTATAAAGAAATAATATACACTCACGCACCACCCGCACACACATACACACACAAACATATGGTCTACGCACACATACATATATATACATACATACATACACACACATATATATATATATGTATATATATATATATATATATATATATATATATATATATATATATATATATATATATATATATATATATATATATATATATATATATATATATATAAAGAGAGAGAGAGAGAGAGAGAGATGTACATATATATAATCAATCAATATGAGATGAGTACAAATGGAATTTTTTAAAATAAAAATCTGTTCCTTAGCCTTATCAGTTATTTGCAATTTAAATTATGGACCATCACAAGCTATATTTGGACAAATAATTTGTATCAAGTATGCACTAAAACAAATACATTTTACGCCTACCTTCTAGTTGCTAAATGACAAACGGCAGATGTCGTCTTCTCTCGATAGTGTTTAAAGGAAAAGAACGAAGCATCCGATTACTTCTTTAAAGTCATTTTTCGAGAAAAAACCAAGTTTATAAATAGATCGCTTCTGATTAAGATTAAGGCTGATATACATAATCCGCAACTGATGCATATCATTATTTCATTATTATATTGTTTATTTATTTTAAAAAATCAAATTAAAAAAAATATTTAACTGTTTTATATTTTAAAATTTAAAAAATACCCTCAAATTACGTTTTTGATTTTTAAAAAATTGCTATAAATAAGCATGATAAAAACAAATTTCCGAGAAAATAGGATGTTTATAAATAAATCGTTTGTGATATAGGCCTTTATTAACTGCAGCAGAAAACTGTCATTATTATAGTGTTTATTTTTTAAATTTATTTTTTAAACTTTTTTTTAATTTATTTTTTTATTTATTTTTTAAATTTATTCTTTAAATTTAAAAAAAAACTGTTTTATAATTGAACATTCGTTTTTAATAAATATAGTGGAATTTTGTGTCAGGCAAAAAGTAAATGTGTAGGATTACATCGAGTTTGTTCACACTAAATTTGAGAAATACAGTTCTAAGTAAATCACAATTTTGAAATGTTTTTCCAGTACATATTCTCTACTATTCAATCACGAATGTTTGTATTTTTATTACTTTACAATTTCAACATTCATACTTTAGTTCAAAAACGGTTGATCTCATTTTTTATGAAAATATTTGAAAATTTAAAATAATTATTTAATTTTTTTCTAGATGGCTTCTGAATTCTGTTTTTTTTTTCCATAATGTGAATGGTTCTAATACTATGTATTTAGCAATCCAGAATTGGATGTTATGAAAAAGGTATTATTGACATTTTATTCATTTGTGACACGTTGTAAACTTTTGTACACATGCCATGCATTGCATAATACTTGGCCGATGGAGATGAAATTCAGGATAACATATTTATCAGGGCACCCACAACATTATTTTCAATTTGAATAATTTTTTTGTACGAAAACCCCGAGATCGTGTCGGACGAGTTTAAAACAAATTACCTTTATTTTTTTATAGATTCTGCAAAAAAAAACAAAAAACATTTTACTTAATAAGTTAAGCTAAATTAATTCTGGGATTTCGTATTCATATTTTTTGTTTTAATATGTTTGTCAAATAAAAATAATCTACTTGATTATTTTTTTATGGGAAGTCGTGGTAAGATGGTAGAGCAAACGACTGCTAATCCGAAAGTGTCAACACTGTATCCGACCTCGATTGAGTAGGATGCCCCTGAGTCAAGTTATGTCAACAAGCTCTAAAGGTTAACTGACTTGGGGAAAATAAAGTCGACTGGGCGTAGTACTGGCCACACTATCCCTTCATACGGCGTGGTCATAGAAACATGTTAACTCTTCTTCCTTTGTGTACGAAACACCGGGTTCCAAAGGGTAACTTTACTTTTTTTTTTTTTCTTTTTATTTTACTTTTTAAATTTAAGTTATTATTTGATTGTTTCGACATTAACTATTTGTAGAAGCAATAATGTTTTTAAAATTGATTAAAATACTTTTTTTTCAGCGGGACATTTTTAAAAAATTAAATCTGGAAAAGTGCATTAATTTTAAACGTGAATACGATGTTAAAAAAGTCTATCTATGTAGCTCTATACATAGTATTATATATTAGTATTATATTCACCTCGACGTATAACAAAAAAAGGATGGAAGCCTTAGTCACATTGTCATGAAATAGTGTTTAAAAAAATGTGATTGGTTCTGCAAGTTCGTAATGTAAAACTTGTAACGTTAATATTTCACTGATTGCTGTTGTCTAGCCTAAATGTCGCATTTTAAGTGGATATGCCTTTCTGCTATGTAAAGAAATAGGCCACAATTGGAAATTCACCACAAATAATGCCTAATTAACTTTGCTCCAAAATTATCACTGTAATGAAAAAAAAATCATTTGTCACATGATCGCTAGTTTGACCGAAATAGTTGTAGTCCACGGAGAGCAAATAATTTCTCCACCAACAAAGCGAGCTGTCACCTATTCATAGCCCTCCCATCCATACCTGAGCTAACCCTATGATCTAGTCTGGTCCATCTGATGACTCATGAAACTTAGTTTTATTCTACAAATAATATATTTCTAATTGCAATTTTAATATGTTTAATGTAATATGACAAACCTATGCGACAAACTTTTCCCCATAATTATTATGTATGAAAAAGTAAATAAAAACCATAACTTCAGGAGAGTAATTTTTTTTAAATGTTAAAATCAACTAAAAACATCCCAAATTCTATAACAATTTTACCGTGAGATAATTTGTATGTTTTGTCTGAGATCATTTGTCCATGATATCGTTTGTCCTGATATATTTTGTCCGTGAGATCATTTATATATATATATATATATATATATATATATATATATATATATATATATATATATATATATATATATATATATATATATGATATGGTATATATATGGATATATATATATCATATATATATATATATATATATATATATATATATATATATATATATATATATATATATATATATATATATATATATATTATTGTCCTGAGGTGTTTTCCCATGAGATCTTCTGGGATATTTTCGTCATGCAATGGTTTTATTTGTTTCACGAGTTGCATTTAAGTATTTTTTTATGTAATAGCTATTTTTATACAACCTGCCATTTTGTAATATTTAACGTGTATTAAGAGTTTTTCATTTACAATTTTTCAGATTCCCAAAGTAGTGAAAATATAAATAAAATTATTGCGTTGTTCTGAACAGGGGATTCTTTAGTATTTCTTACTCATTTTCATGTAGCCATATATATTTTATTGTACAACAGTTTTTAAAAAGTATAATTTGTATATCTCATACAAGCTACATAGACCTATAACTTCGGATAAAAGCCTAAATGCATATAAAACTAAGCTAAACCATGTTAAAAGATACAACTAATTTCAGGAAAAATCAATAAACAATTTATTAATTTATCCGGAAAATTTTCCCTGGAATAAAATCTGCCCGGACTGGTTGTCTCTGAGGAAGTAGACGAAGGGGTGATCCGCCACAAAGGACTCCGCCGGTGGGAGCATCACGGAAGTGACGGAGATGCCGATGACTGTTGCCGCAGCGGCAACGGTGCCGGTTTCTGTGACGTCAATAACGGCCTTGTGGATGACCTGACTGATGTATACCTGACCTGTGGATGTTGGTCATAGAAAGGTATAGTGAATGTAACATGTTTGTCTTTTCATATAATTAGTCACACTATTGTCATAGAAAGACATAGTGAGTGTTGTTTCATGAAAGTGGTCATACTTTTGTCAGCAAATAAAAAACGGTGAGTTTAACATTGGTTTGAATAAATGTGTATTGTTTCATGAAATAGGTCATACTTTTGTCAGCAAAGAAAAAATTGGTGAGTTTTACGTGTTCTAAATAAATGTGTGTTGTTTCATGAAATAGGTCATACTTTTGTCAGCAAATAAAAAAAAAAACGGTGAGTTTTACATGTTTATAATAAATGTGCTGTTTCAAATAATTGGTCATACTATTGTCATAGAAAGGAATATGATTGTAACACTTTTATACGAGACGCGTGTTTTTTTTTTATTGAAGTTGGTCATACTTTTGTCAGCAAAAAAAAATGGTGAGTTTTACATGTTCATAATAAATGGGTGTTGTTTCATGACGTTGTCATATTTGTGTTATAGAAAAAAATATTGATTATACAAGATTTATTTTGTTGCTTACGTTTTCATACTTTAGTCATAGAAAGAATCACCTGACTATAACTTAATTAAATCTGATTATAATTTTTGAGTGAAGCTATTATAGATACGAGCCGACCGGCGGCGTATCATACGCCGCTATTTAGTTGTTTTTTTTCTCTACTTTTCAGTAATTCATAATTTGTAAATTCGACAGTACCAATACTGCCACTGAAAATATTTGCTTTAAAACACTAAACCCCCCCCCTCCCCCCCCCCCCTCGTGAAAGCAGCATCCTCTTAGTTACCTCCTCTAAGTTTAAAATCGTTTCAAACTAAATTATCTGCCCCTAATAGCCGTCACCAAACCCGCCTCTATCAGTGTAAACATTTAGCGTGAACAACAGCTCACCTGACCATGTGAGGGGGAGGGCGTGGGGGTGGTAGCGATAGAGAGGAAGAGAGGGGACTGCAAGGCGCGCTTGCAGCTTGTTTTCTAACGTCTCCCAGAAGAGAATTATATATATAGATAATACTTTAGTCAAAAGAAGAAATATTAAAACTACTAACACACCCGACATTTGTTTTGTCATTGTAAAAAAATTGAGTGTAACAAGATTATACAAGATTTGATTTTTTTTAATGAAGTTACACGTTTGAATTAGGATAATTTTTCCCCTTCAAAATCTGTTTAAATTGCCATTGTATATATTCGATGTTTTTTGTTTAGGTTGTTGCAAATGTTAAACTCAGTTTCAAAGACCAGGATTATGAAAACGGATAACGTCAGACGTAGGGTTAATAGGTAGATGGCTACCTGGACCAGTAATCCAATTGATAGCCTACCTGTGTTTTAGGACACATAGTGATTGGTTCAGCAAACGCTTGCATTTGAATATAGTCCAAGTGATAGATCAGTATAGCAACTTATCTGCATAGGGTAATCCAGTTGATAGATCTACCTGTTCTTTACGACTCATAGCGATAATACTAACAAAAGCTTACCTCTACATTTAGTCTAGCTAATATATGTGTTCCAATTTTTCTGCAAAGGTCATATGTGATAGGTCTGTATTACAACTTACCAGCATAGGTCACGCAGGTGATAAATCTACCTGTGTTTCACCACCCATGCCAATGGTATTAACTTTAACTCTATATTTAGTCTAGCTAATATATGTGTTCCAACTTTTCTGCAAAGGTCATATGTGATAGGTCTGTATTACAACTTACCAGCATAGATCACGCAGGTGATGAATCTACCTGTGTTTCACCACCCATGCCAATGGTATTAACTTTAACATAACCTCACCTGAGCTGCTGATACCAGTGAAGTCAGCGCCCGCTGGACTGAAAGCCTTGACCATGCCCAGGTCCTTCAGAGGTTGGTTTAAGTTCAAGGTTGTCTCGATCTTAAACTTCGGGATGCTGAGCTGAAGTCGGGTGTAGCTCAGACCGGTGAAAAGCTCGTCGACTTTTCCTGGCGTCGCCAAAAGGGTTTCTGGGAAATAAAATACAAAACTCTAAATTATTTTCAACATCTTTTATGCTTTATTTAATTAACACTCTAAAATATCTCTTTTTAATAAGAACTTATTACACGCCCAAGTTATTTTCAGTTTACAGATAAAGAACAATGTTGATAACTTTAACGAAATCGGTTGTAAAATTGTTTGTACGAAACGATTTGCAATTTCATCAAATCACCAAGACATAATGAGCCCACAAAAAGTATCTTATTTTATTTTATATATTACATTAAGTAGTTAATGAACACTTAATTAAGTCTATCAAACAGATATGTTTCTTTTGCGTTTTCCAACAAAGCTTTTATCTTTTAAATTTACTTTCGGGTTCATTGAAAAGAAAGTTGTATACCAGGGATTTAAGTGCTCTGATTTTAAAATTAACGAAAAAGAAAAAGTATTTCACATTTTGTATTCCATTAAATAATCTCGCATATTTAAAGAGGGTGGGGGGGGGGGGGGTTGAAAACTCGATGTTGTGGAGAACTGTCTGGATTCTGTGTACATAAACTGTTCTCTCATTACTTTACGTACCCTTTTCCCATGCTGAATTTGAAACTAAAAAAACAAAAGCTTTCAACTGCACTAGAACTCATTTTTTTTTTTGTTCTTCAAATTCTTGGTTCAACATTTCACGCTAGAAACCCAATGTATTTTAAGTTATTAGAGCAGAGCCGGGGTCGGCGTGGTCGAGTCGGTAAAGCTCATGGTTGCTAAACCGAAAAGTCTCGAGTTTGAACCCTCGGACAGATGAGGCTCGTTAGCTGGGGACAGCCACTCTTCTAGGAGAGACAACTCCAAAATCAAACAACTGCTACCTTGTAGTTCGTTCTCGGTTGGACAAAGGCTATGGAAGCAAATCCAAAAAGAAAAGCAGGCTGAAATCGGAGTCAATGGCCTCAATGGCGCATAACCATTGTGATGGAAGCATGGTCGAGTCGGCAAAGCTCATGGTTGATAAAGTCGAAAAAAGTCTCGAGTTCAAATCCTCTGGCAGATAAGGCTCTCGATCATTCCCAACACTAAAAATTAAGAACGAAGAAGAAGAAAGAAGAGCAGAGCCTTATACAAACTAGACCGCACATTTTCCCAGGTAATGATGTAAAAACTAGACCGTCCACCTACCCAAGTCAGTAATACCATCCACCT